CCATCGTCATCTACGGATGGGTCATTGCTGGTAAGACCTCCAGAGGTGCTACTCATATACGACCCAACTGACTCGCTTGATAGGCATTTACATCGCCATGGATCTCACACTCTCACTCATGCCAATCCGGCTGATCCGCACCCTGAACCGCTCTCAATCCGAGAAGATACTCATCGGCTTCCTCATGGCCCTCGGTCTTCTCGCAACCGCGATAAACTGCGCCAAGATGACAACGTTCACCACTTTCGGCCAAGGCGACGTGATGCAAGCGACTATCGTACCTTCTTTGTGGGCCAAACTTGAGGAAGAGATCGGCATCATCGCTAGTTCGCTTCCTTGGCTCAAGAGCCCTGCTGAGAACTGGTTGAAGAAGATGGGCATATTGAAGGAGCACCAGCTCACTAAGCCGAGTTTCGTGGCTGATATGAGCCTGCCGACTGTGAAAGATGATACAGACGACAGGAATAGTAATGATGCGGATAGTACGAAAGTGAAGGGAAATGTTAGGGTGGATTCGGTGGCCACCGCCCTGGGTACCAAAGGCTCGAACAATAGCCTGCCAAAGGATCCGAATAGTAATACCTGGCAGGCTGTCTAATCGCGACGACCATGTTACGACTTTTATCTGGGATGCATGCCAAATCTTTGGGCTTTAGCGCGGCGCTCTGGCGTTCTTGAGGACTGTTCGTATCTATGGATGCGACGACCACATATATCTATCGATTGCCTATTTGCATCATTGAGCGAGACGCGGATACCTTAATACCAACGATCTCGAATCGAACGAACTAGAAAGTGACCTTCGCAGAAGTGTGAGGAGTAGGAGTTTGGTGATGCCGCATTTCGGCGACATTCGCCCGAAGCTCTGCGAAATCTCGGATTATTACTAACAGAAAACCGCTTACTCCGCATTTTCGCAAGCCATCGTCAGGACTTTGCGGAAGCCTTCCTTTTGCGCGTTTGTTTGCGCAGATTTTATCTTCCCTGTTATTGCAGGGCCTGTTTGTAGGTGTAGCAGCAGAACCAGAAATTCTGTTGTCTTTGTGTTGACACATACCAGCCATGCCTAGAAACAGTGGCATCAACAAAGATCGTGAATTCAAAAAGCGTGATGCCGCGGTCATTAGCAGCACTAAAACGGCACGCGCCATTAGTCCGGGGTGCATGATCCAGGCTCGATCCGCGATGGTGACGTCCCACCGGTCGTTATTCCCTTCTCTAGGTTCTGTTTACTGCGTCTATGCTTTCATCAAGCTTTCTCTCTTTCTGCATTTCCACTTCTTGACATCGCTACCACTACTACATTCCAATATTGACACTGGGCAATCCTCGAAACCACTGGCTTAAGTCACACGTTCTCTTCGAGTGTTTGTCGTAGTCGCCGCGTGCGGAAACTAGGCATCTTCCGCCGTCACGATGCCCATATGGGATCCTCTTGTGCCCGTTGAGCGCGTTATCCAGCGTGGTCTTGCACGTCTTCCACAACCTATCAGCCACTGGCTTGGATACCGAACAAAAGCAGCACCAGCTGCTCGCACATGGGTCGTCTGTGTCTGGGGCTTCATCGGCGCTTTCTGTGGGCTTAGCGTCATTCTCGCTATATTTGGGCATACGGACTACATGAGAAGTCGCGCCGTACCACCAATCATCGCTTCATTTGTGAGTTCTCCGACTCTTTGTATATCTGATATTGAGGAGGACTAACATTTTCGTAGGGTGCCTCAGCAATCCTCTGCTACGGCGCCATCGACGTGCCCTTCTCGCAACCACGCTCCCTAATCTTCGGCCACTTCTTCAGCGGCCTAGTCGGGGTCATCATAGCAACAATCTTCCAGTTCGACCTCGAGAAAGATCCTTATCCACGACTGCAATGGCTCGCAGCTGCTTTGGCCACAGCTATCGCTCTCGTTGTCATGCATCTGACAAAGACGACTCACCCACCTGCTGGAGCAACAGCGCTCATGCCGTGTGTTGATCAGCATATCTGGGCGCTGCGATGGTATTTCTTGCCTGTCTTGCTGCTATCGTCGACCGTTGTGCTGGTTACAGCTATGATGGGGAACAATGTTCAGCGGCGATACCCCGTGTTCTGGGTTGCGCAGATTCCGCCACCACCACCGGCACCGAAGGCTGAGGAGAAGAAAGAAGCGATCAAAGGGGGTTCCTCTGATGGAAGCGTGGATGGATCACACAAGGACGTGGAGAGAGGACCTCTGTAGGTTCTCTTCGTAGAAGCATTAAAACGAGTATCTCCATCGTCATTTTGGTAATGTGCTTTAGCCAGCGATGTATTTGGTCAGCATATCGGTTAATAATAATTTGTGTCGTCGATAGCTCTCAAATTATCGGTATGAACCGAAAGAAGTCAGTCACTCGGAGTGCTTACTACGCGACGAGCTTGTGATGCCGAATCTTCCGCAACAGTGCCCATCCTTTACACTTTGACACATGTATTGATTTGGTATCATGGTTTGTATTAACACTACTACGAATCTACTTAGGTATCTTCATCTATCGTCACTAAATCAAATGCAGCATCAAACTTAAACCTTCTCGACCCACACAGTCCTAGCCACACTCGGCACACCCTCCGCACTGACAGCAAAGAGATACCACGCTCCTGGCAGCACAACACCATTATCATTCATGATAGGCAAGACAACCTCTTCACCCTCAATTCTGGGCTGGAGCGGGATTCGCCTCTGATCACTGTTAACGTTGTGTGTAACACTTCCAATCCTAATGAAAGAGAACTTCACACCGTCGGCCGAACCTTGCATCTTGACCCTCAGCTCACCGCCAGGGGCGACGATGCTGTTAGCAATGTTCTCGATGATCGGGCGAGGAGCGCCGGTTTGGAGGTATGCTGGTGTGAAGATCTGGCCGTTAGGGTGGTCGACTGTGTCTTTGCAGTGGTAGGACGGTCCACCGGTTCCGTCATCCCAGCAGAGACCTCCTCCTCCACTGAAGACGGTGGCATCGGGCAGTAAGATAGAAACGGAGTGGTAGTTACGAGGAATGGCTTCAGCGGGCAGCTCGGTAAAGGTCTTGGTTGCTGGGTCAAACATCTCGGGGATGAAGACGGGGTCGATGTCTGTGAAGCCCGCAGCCCAACGCTGTCCGCCAGTGATTAAGAGCTTGCCGTCGGGAAGAACGACTATGTTTGCGAAAGCGCGAGGGTGGTGCATATCGGCGATTCGTTCAGCTGTCACTGGTGCGCCCACGTAGTTGATTTCCATCAAATGCGCGACTGCAAGACCAGGCGCCTGGTCGTAGTACTGGGCTCCACCTGCAGTGAAAATCTTTCCTACATCGTACATGACGTGGACACCGCACATGGCGTCGTTGACATCGTCGCGGATGCCTGCTGGGCTGACACCTCCTTCGCCATCGGTGTAGTACCAGTTCATCGCTTTACTAGGCCCGGCCTGGAAGATAGTGCCGTTGCGCCAAGGAAAGAGCCAGGCGTGGTTATCCTCGCGGAAGATGCCCTCGTGGTCGGTCGTCAACATCGGCTCGACAGCAGCACCGGGAAGAAGTGTCCATGTGTTCTGTACTGGGTCGTAAATTTCTCCTGGCTTTCCACCTCTTGGTCCACTCCAAGACCCACCAATAGTGAAGACGTTTCCGTTGGAGAGGATAGCGCTACTTTGGTAGCCACGGGGTACTTTCATGTCCGGTCCGGGAGCGAACGTGTTTGTCTCCGGTTGGTATATGGTCGTCTTCTCCGCATTGCTTCCTCCTGTGATGACCAATCTTCCATCGGCCAAGGAGCTCATACCAGGGCAGAACATGTCGTGGTTGGTTTCAGCAACCTGACGAGTAGTCATCTGTCCAGAGACCAAATTGTACTCCGCGAACTGAGTGAGACCACGTTCACCCCCGAAGGCGTTCGGTGAAAATGCCGAATACACCATCATGCGAGTCGGAGTCGGCCATTCTGGAACGATATAGGCTGCAACGGGAATGATCGGAAAGTCGATCACTGGGCCCCATGATCCTTGGCCCTGAGCGAGGGTGTTTGAGTAGAGAAATGGCAGAAAGGCAGCCGCTGCCTTTGCGTGTGAAAACATTAGATATTAAGATATTAAAGCACGCGATAGGTGCAAGAAGTCAAAGGCGAGAGCGACTGTCGGTGGGTGGTGCTCGTATCTGAAGGTGTTCACGGTGTGTTTGTTTTATACCAACAAACGTTGCTTTTCCCGCACACCCTTCTTCGGATCGCGATGCTAGACTTGTTGTGCGCCAATGCAGTCGAGCACGTCCTAATTGGTAGCCGATCCCAATGAATATGAGCCGAGACCTGTTCGAGAACCCAAGAGCTACAACAACAGCTCGGCACATGTTCTTGGAGTAGTGCTATACCCATTGTATTACACCGAGTGGTACTACATCCGGATAAGGACGCGCGATGACACGGCAGCACCTGCAGGTATGGTAGTGCTATTTCTCGAGGGGTACATTATTGATGTATCATCGCCTCATCGTGTACCGCGTGAGATCGTTAGATCGATCCTGCCCGTAAGCTTTACGAGAAGAGGCTCGCGTAAGATAGGGCTGAGAAGCTGGATAGCCGCCATCCGTCTTGGTCGCACCGTAACGCGACTTGGCCCAAGCGTGGCACAGGAATAGTTTATCGATTGTTGGCGGCCGCTGCGGGGCAATGCGATTGTCGCACGTTGATGACTCTCACCGATGCGGGGTGTGTCTGGGCCGGATCTGACGATGCGTTGGTTGAAGTTTGAGCGCGAGAAAGAACGTTGGGACGTAGGGGTGAGAACTCGGCACGTGCTCGATACCGATGACGTTCAGCACTGATAAGCCTGCGGTCGTTGCGATAAGAGACCCCATAGCAACGACCGTTTGGACTCAGCACGTGGAATCTCGGGGCCATCTTCCATCACCATCGAGATGGCATTGACATGTTTTGAATACCATAGAGTAACTAAGTCTCTTGGAAGACCCTTCGACGTCATACAGGCTGCGCATACGGATCGCTTTCACTCCGGCTTCAACAACTCCGCCATCTTCATTCTCAACGCCTTTTCAGCTGCCGGCCAACCCTGCCCCAGCCTCCGACAAAACGAATTCACATCAACGCGTCTGTACTCAGGCATTTCCCTCAGCAGCAGCGTCACAACATCCCTACACCGAAAGTCTTTATCCAAGGCCGCTAACACCAGCTGATACATCGCGGACTTGCGCGTAAAGTTTACATCCGAAGGCTGACAGAACTCCTTCATAGCCTGGGTGTATATCTCGCGGTAGCGCTCGATGGCCCAAGTCATATGTGGCAGCCGACCTAGGCCGTAGTCTGGGAGCCAGTCGCGACGAAGAAAGGTAGGCATGGACGCGTAGCCAGTGCAGCGCGGCACCGCTGCGCAAGCATCCCAGTCGATAATGCCAGTCACATTACCATCTTCATCTACCAGGATATTCTGGAGGTCGAGATCATCATGTCGGATGACAAATGTTTCGCGTACCGGCACGGTGTGGCTACCGTACCCAGCCTGAGAGATTTCACCCTGTGAGGACGTGGACGGCTTGAACGGAGCCGAAGACAGTATGATCCTCATCACTATCTGAACGCCAAGCTCTGTCATCCCATCACTATCAACAGGGCTCTCGGGTTCGCATAGTCTGTCGAGGCCAGCAGCAAAAAAGGCTTCGCTGGACGCGAATGATCCATAAGACGTCGGCTCTTCCATGTTCATCTTGCAGTGCCACCGCCAGGCCGGCGCGATGAACTTTGGGTTCTTGTCTTCCGGATACTCGTAGCTAGGGACGCCAGTATACGGAAACTCGAGTGTGGCGAGCTGGCTCATCGCTTGCGCAAGTGAGCGCAGAAAGGTAACGCGCTTTTGCTCGACCTCCTGCGAAGGGTCGTCGGCCTCAAGGTGCAGATCGTCACTTTTGAACATCCTATAGGGTTTACCGAGCCACAGATCCGTTGCCGCCATACCTTCCATCTTCTTCATGAGTATGTACGGCGCGCCTATCGCATTGTTTAGGCCGCCGTCGTATGCGACAACCTCTGGTACTGGGCAGTCTGTATGGTGGCGGATATGCTTCAGTAACTGAGCTTCACATTCCAACATCATACGGTCGTTCATACCCCACTCTTTCGGTGTACCGTGTGCAGGTATCTTGAGAACATACTCCTGCGGAACTTCATCTTCGCGCTCAATCCTCAAGAAGACTGCATGATGGAACGATCCCTCCGTCCGACGTGTAACACGACAGCTGCCAGGGGACAACGTCCTCTCAGGATCGACGAGATCGAGTGTTGTTTCTTCTAAGACTGCGCGCGATATGCCTCGAATGGACTTGAAGTTCCGGCGGTCGAATTCGCGCCCCGAGGGCTCGCCGTCGTCGCTATAAACCGTAGCAAGGGTTACTCCTTCGGAAGCTTGAGCCACTATACTACTCTTCGGTGAAGGTCGTCGGCGGTGACCAGCAAGTGGGACTCTACTGTAGTCGATGTAGTGACTCGGCGGCCGTATTCGATCCACGGTGGTGGCTGAATTTGTTCGTTGTAGGTAGATTCTCGAGCGAGTCAATGGTACCGCTTCTTCTGATGCACCGTGGACGGTTCCCCTGCCCCATAATGAGGATGACCAAGGCCGCGGAGTCTTTACGCTCGTTCCCAACCGTGAGCTCAGCATTCGTTTGAGCCCTCCCGGCTTTGGTCGCGCGCCTCCATCGTCTAGCGACAGTTTGGACCTCGTGCGTATCAGAGGCCACCGCTTGTTTCGCACTCTGTCCCATACCGAAGGTCGTGTAGTCGGTATCGCAGTCTCTCTAGGCATGGTTTGAATCCTTGCGCTGATGGGGTTGCGTTGGCTTGGATGAGAGGAGAGAAACACTGTGGTTGAACGCGTAGCGAAGAAGAGTCGGGGGTCCGAACTTGGGTGAATGCTTTGGCCTACACGCCCAACCCAAGGCTTTACCTCCAGTCACATGACCATTATGGTCCGTGCAGGTTTGCTTATGGCCCTCACGACTTCGCTACCCAGACACAGGGGAACCCCCAGTGTGACATTACAACGGCGAGAGTTTTGGAAATACACCTTTAAACTATATACGCATCACTACGTCTTTGTGTTCAGACTGGCCAATTGCAATAACATTTCGATTCACGCTATTGATAACGCTCCGTCAGTGACAGCTGGAGTCCGAGCAGTCCACCTCTTCCATTCGACAATGCACACCGCCGTCAGCTGTTGCTCGTTCTGTAATTACTGGTTATAGGAGGTGCGTTTGCAGAAGACGTCGCACCTGTGTGTGGAGTCGCACTGCTTGGAGCGGTGTTGTCGGAGTCTCGGTTACCCATGGCGCGCGCAAGTGAGAGTGTAGTATACGAACGTATGCTGTAGGCGTATGTGTCGAAGCGACGAAGTGTAACACTGAATGCAGTGTGGACGTTAAAAATTGTGATGTAGAAGTCAAGAAGCGTGATGTCTTTTTGTTCTTGATCTTGTATCGACTTGGCTAGCACCTGCTCGACAACTTCAAAGCGAAGGAACATGGCTGCGGGTGGAGCTCTTAGATTTCTGGCGATATAGGCGACGAACCCAGCTCCAAAGCCGAAGAGATGTGTCGTCTTGCCGCGCCAAGCGCATTGGGATGAGGTGTATTTTGAGTCGGTATGCATGACCGCAAAGTGGGGGACCATGTGATAGGCATGGATAGTCTTTGATCCGCGGGTTCGCTTCTCCCCGTTCTTGATCATATGGAGCACGAAATAAAACTTCGCCTTTGCCTTCAAGGTCTCGTACTTCTTTGCATGACGTCCCGTCGTGTACTTGAGCTTCGGCTCCAACGACTCGTGGTCGGACATTTCTCCGTCCATCATATTACCCTCATCTGTGTTTTCCACCTCTTTCTTTGGCATCTTGTTGTATGAACGGCGTGTCATCTCTCTGCCGTCTGTCTTCAACATCGGGACGATGTCATGAAGCATCCGAATAAGATTGTGGCTTGAGGGCTTATCTTCCACAGGAATCTTCACATCTTTCTCGTTGAAGTCAACATCTCACTCGTCGTAGACATTGTTTACGCCTGGAATATGGGCGATGTCTCGCCTGGCATTAGTAATGGCGGCTGTGAGCGGGTATGGGGTTCGATTGTCAATATCCCACTGGGCGAAGTATCCCTGATCGAAGTCGGTCAAAAGGAGGGCCGCCCCGACTTGCGCGCCCAGATGTTGCAACTCCATTCTGATCGATTGCACATGGGTAGAGAGCATCGCAATTGTTTGGTAGAGATATTCTTGATCCTTAACCTTCTCTTGGAATTTCTCTAGCTCTGAGTTGCTGACGTTGGCAGGGACGACGCAGGTTTTCTGTAAGAAGCTGTGCAGGGCTGAGTTGAGATCCTGTATATGCTGCAGCCTCGGTACCAGCTCGTCCCGGTAGATGACGGCAGCATCCTTGCCGATCTGCTTCTTGTTCTCCTCGTTGACCTAGAGACGGTATCGTGCTAGAAAGCCGAGTTCGTCGCAGAAGGTCTTGCCGACTACGATCAGAGTTAGAGTTCTTTACAACAGGCTGTGCCGACAATGTAGCTTCGTCGCCTTACTAAGAAGAGATATACGAAAACCAGGGACATACTGAAGCAAGTCTTGCTAGAGCAGAATACGTCGATGTTTTTAGTTGCTAGGGAGGAAACAATAAAAGCACACCCATGTGATGGCCATTCTTAGTACGTGCACTTCCCACAGTACCCACAGTCGTCAGCAGAACACGCAGTGTAGTCTGGCTCAGAACCTGAATCGTCGTCGCAGCCACTGCCAAGCTCATACCTCGCATCAATATCGACACCGCCATCATTGTAATCGTCCTCATCCGAAGCATCATCCTGAGTAGAGGAAATACTAAACCCCGTCTTCTCCCACCTGTCGACCAAATCTGCAGGCAAGGCGTGTACGCCGTCCCCATACTGTTTTCGGATCTCTAGGCGATCCGCTCCGGGGCAATACACTTCGAGCAACTTGTTTGTGCTGCTCTTGGCGATGTCAACGATCTCATTGAGGAGTGTTGCGAAGCGGCGGATACCGTCTCTATTCTCTCGGACCCAGGCTCGCACATCGCTCTTGACATCTTGTACCTGTATGTCTTCGAAGAGGCCATAACCGTCGTGGTAGGCAACGATGAAGTTGGATATCTGTTTCATCCAGAGCGCCGGGTAGATGTCGGTCATGTCGATGGGTTTCTGGTATTTGCCTGAGCGGGTCTTCAGGTCAAAGATGGAGTGATGCGGTACTGTAGATCCGCGGTGTTCGATCTTGAGCTCTTCCGGCTTACCCATTGCGTTGCTGGGCGAACGGCCGATGGCTGCTTGCTGGAATGCTTGCAGAAGCTCATCTTGGTCCCCAGCAGTCTGTGCGGGCGCGACATCACGGACTGCTAGGGAGTCATCAATGTAGCCGTCGCTTTCGAAGCGTACAAGACACTCCAAGCCGCCAAACTCATATCGTATGATGCGCTGGTGTGTCTCAGAACCCTTGACACTATGCTCCCATGTGGTGTATGCTTCTGGAAACGTATGACCAAAGCCTCTGATATCCTTGATAACTTCTTTGGGGTCGTTCTCTTTCCGTACAAAGAAGACAGTCTCGCCAATGACCTCGATGTTAAACCGAAAGGCTTTGTCGACACCACGAGCGAAGCGCAGGAGGTTGCCAAGGGTGCTTCCGCATGCGAAGACATCGGTGTTCGTAGCATCGAATTCGGGGTCGGTCTCTGTAATAGCATGTACGACGGGTGCCATGGGGAAGTCGGGATACTTTGCAGCATTGGGGTCGCGAAAGTACTGTCCGTCGTCTTCTTTCAAACGCTGTGGGGCTTGGAGTGGTGTCCAGCGAGGAGGTTTACCTAGAACTGTCAGCTCCATCTGGTATGCAGACTACAGCAAGATGAAAACGTGCAAAGTGGGCGGGCTAACGTCCATGTAGGCACAAAGCTTACCTGGAACGACGATGGTAGGTACCTCGTCATTGAGCCAGTTGTACGACGCGACATGTTGGCAATTCGATATCTCCGCCGAGTCGATTGGTTTCAGACTCAGATCGGAGCTGCGAAACACTTTCACAGGGTCTCCAAGCGGATGTGTCTGGAGATCCGGTTTTGGCTGCTCTCTGTTCTTTGCGAAGTGAGGCGCTCTTCCTCCGCGGCCTCGCCCTCTGCGTGGAGCCCAGCCACCTCTGCCGCTGCCTGAAAACGAAGCCATATTGCGGAAATGTACTGACTAGTTTCGAAATCGTGAATTGCGAGGCTGAGTTATGCGCTGGATGGAAAGCGACACGCCGGCTTCAAGTATGGCATGCTGCCACAAGGCTGAGTTCGTGTGGCGCTGTTTGCTCAACATGCAGGTCGCACAGCGCATGCCTGTAGGCCTCAATTCGTCCAGAGCTCACCAGAACATGCAGGCAGACAAAGATTGATGCCTCGCCGCATAACAAAGTGTGAGTCTCTTCCAATCATTCGCACAGCCCGTTATCAGAGAATCATCGCGCATGCGCTGGGGTTTGGTGCGGCCTCCCGGCTACCCATTCAGAAAGCTCAAAAGAACCAAACGCCCTCTGAAGAGCGATGGAATAGCGGCAGATATCAGCTTGTCTTGATAAATCTTTTCTCAACAGTTGATACCTTACACGATACAAACCTCATCCATGGCGGACCAGGACGCCGCGAAGCGTGCCGCAGGGTTGACGAAGCTCTTCAACGCTATCATCCATGGTCGTCGCGAAATCAAGACGGCGGGCGACAGTAATCGATTTTTGGAGGCGTTGTGTGCTCAAGAAGACGCGTCGAAGTGTGTTGAGTGTCTGATCGCGTCTTCGGCAGGGCTAGCGGCCGTCGGCGTTGCCTTCCGCACCACCGGGGACAGCGCGTTCCTCAACGGGTGGGCAACCGCCGTCATCACTCATCTGGCCCAGCCCCCTGTCAAGCAACTCTACGGCGGCCAATTTCTACAGCGCGTCCTCGAACACATTGTCCAGCCTCCTACATTCTGGAACACCTTTGTGAACGCGCATGATGGTCACGTGCTTTCCAGCGATGGCACTCGCGCGTTCGCGTGGCTGCTCCTCGAGCTGCTATACAGCCGCTCTGAGGAGATCCCAGATGTGCGAGACGTCGCAGAACGCGTCACGAAGCATGGGTCCTTCATCGATTCAGATTCGCTGGATATTCGCAACATTGGGCACAAGATCAAGCATGTCCTAGACAGCACATTCGACCAGTCGGTCGATGGCCCAGGCGGGCGACACGACAACGACTTCGCGCAAATCCACAAGATCAAGCTTTTACCGACGCCAGACGAATTCGCATCTTCCGAGCATCCATTCTACAGACGCGCTGATTCCATCGTCTCTGTCACCCCGGAGAGCCGTGGTCTTACCCATGTTGACAACCAATTTCGCTTACTCCGCGAGGATCTTCTCGGGGAGCTACGTAACGACTTTCAGATTGCCAGTGGTCAGAAGAAAGGTCGACGTAAAGTGGTTCTCGAACACCTGCAATATGCCGGTATCGACTGCGGACCAGAGGCGAAACCCAAGCCTTGCGCACTGCAGCTTCTTTGTCCAGACGACGTTCCTCAGCTGCGCAACGTCAAACCCGCGAACCGCAAGAAGTTCCTCGCCGACAACAAGAACGTCCTGAAGCATCAGTCACTGGGCTGTCTCATCAGCAACGGTAACATTGTTGCGTTTGCAACTGTGGACCGTGATGAAGATCTCCTTGCGAAGCAACCTGCTGTTGTAGTGCTGCGAGTAGCCGACGCCAGCTCGTTTGGCAAAGTGCTGATGGCATGCAAGCTCCAATCTGACCTTTGCTTTGTGCAGGTAGATACTGCTGTATTTGCGTATGAGCCTGTCCTGAAATGTCTTCAGGACCTGACTGAACTGCCACTGGAAGACCAGCTCCTCAGTCTTACGCCAGACTCCGCGGAAACCCCGTCCGGCATCCAACCGACAAAGACTGTCAACGCCATTCGCGACCACTGGGAAGAGGACCTTCAAGACATCATCGGAAGCACTCATCCAATCAAGCTCGACCAGGCCCAAGCAGAGTCACTGCTGACTGGTCTTGTAAAGAGAGTCAGTCTGATCCAAGGCCCACCAGGTACAGGCAAAAGTTTCATCGGAGCACTCATCGCAAAGATATTGCACGATCGTACCAATGAGACGATGCTCATTCTCACTTACACGAATCATGCTCTGGATCAATTCCTGGAAGATATCCAAAAGGCCGGCATCCCTGCTAGTTCGATCGTGCGGCTGGGATCAAAGTCGAATGCCAACACTCGCGCACTGACCATCAGAGAACAACCAAACAACTACAAGATGACGGGACAAACATGGACCATGATTCAAGACCAAAAGTCTGAAGCGGAATCTTACCATGACGCACTAGTCAGGAGGATGACATCTTTTACGTCTATGCGGCTCAATGAGCAGATGCTCCTAGACTACTTAGAGTTCTCGGATGATTCAGAATACTTCGATGCGTTTGTTGTGCCCGACAATAAAGACGGTATGACAGTTATGGGGAAAAAGAATAAACGCATCGACAAGTACTACCTAGTCAGGAGATGGGTCAATGGAGAAGACGCTGGCATCTTCCTTGGTCATGCGATGCAAACATATCCACACGTTTGGAATGTTCCTCCGCAGATCCGTCTTGGACTTCAGGCGCAGTGGAACAAGACGATACTTGAAGAGCGGGTCACCGAAATAAGCACACTTGCCAACAAGTACAACAAATGCTGTGCCCAGGTCGTTCGACTATTTCGCGAGAAGAACTTTCACGTGCTCAGTCAGAGACGCATCATCGGATGCACTACCACAGCAGCTGCTATGTACACCGAAGAGATCCGCAAGGCCTCACCAGGCATTGTTCTGGTGGAAGAAGCTGGAGAGATCCTGGAGAGTCATGTGCTTACAGCTCTAACCCCAACCACGAAGCAGCTCATCCTGATCGGCGATCACAAACAGCTGCGGCCAAAAGTCAACAACTATGCCTTGACTGTAGAGAAAGGAGATGGCTACGATCTCAATGTCTCTCTGTTCGAACGTCTCGTGCTCAGCGGAGTTCCACATACCACGCTCAGCAAGCAGCATCGTATGCGCCCTGAGATCTCGTCCCTCGTTCGGTCGCTCACATATCCGGAATTGGAAGATGCAGAGAAGACTCAAGGTCGACCGAACTTACGTGGTCTTCAAAGCAACGTTATATTCGTGTCACATTCGCGCCCTGAGCTCAACGCGGTACAGATTGCCGACGGCCGCGATGGAGGTGCTAAGTCCAGCAAGGAAAACTTGTACGAGGCTGAGATGGTGCTGAAATGCGTGCGGTACCTTGGTCAGCAGGGCTACGGTACGGAAGACATTGTGGTGCTGACACCTTACCTGGGTCAACTATACCTGTTGATGAACACTTTGTCTAAGGACAATGACCCCATTTTAAACGATCTGGATTCCTACGAGCTCATCAAAGCGGGTCTGATGACGCCGGCTGGCGCGAACATTTCCAAACGCAAGCTTCGCATTTCAACTATCGACAACTATCAAGGTGAAGAGAGCGATATCGTAATCGCATGTCTCACACGCAGTAACGATGCTGGGGATATCGGCTTCATGTCGTCTCCTCAACGAGTCAACGTGTTGCTATCACGAGCGCGAAACGGTTTGATCATGATCGGCAACGCAGACACTTTCATGAACAGTCGCAAAGGCAAGGAAGTATGGGTACCGCTTATGGACCAGCTGAAGCGAGACGGCCATGTCTACGACGGCTTTCCTGTCAAATGCGAGCAGCATCCCGAAAAGACCGCGCTTCTAACCGAGAAAGAACAATTCGATACGGTGTGTCCAGACGGTGGCTGCTCTGAACCATGTGGCAAACTACTCAACTGCGGACTGCATGCTTGTCCCCGTCAATGTCATCAGTTGCAAGACCATTCACGAATGGATTGCAATGTCATCATCTCCTCAACATGCCCTAGTAAGCACAAGACCACTCGAAAGTGCCATGACAAGGCGCCAGCGCACTGTCGGAAATGTGAAGCCGAAGTGCGAGCCAAGGAAAAGAAGCGGCAACGCGACCACGAGCTAGACGAACAACGAGAGGCCAAACAACGTGCATATGCCGCTCGTTTAGTCGAGATTGAGGAAGAGATGGACCACCAGAAGCGCCTTCTGAAAGAGCAGGCCGAGGAAAGAGACCGCCAGCAAGCGCTGGAGCAGAAGAAGCAAGATCTTCGCAACCTGCAGGAGAGGGTCAAGAAATCCAAAAACGCTCCAGTGCCTGCACCTTCGACATCTACTACTACGCCGGTTCCACCATCCGATACTGCCAAACAACAAGGCGATAAACCAGCGCCAAGTACAACGACTGATCACCGTAACGATACCCCGACCAATGAAAAATCCACGTCGTCGGATTCGGACGAGGACCAGCCTGATTGGGACAAGAGTGAAGCCAGAGATGAGTGGGAATGGCAGAAGAAATTTGAGGGTGCAGAAAACGAAGCTCTCGACTCTCTGGTACCTATGATAGGGCTTGAATCCGTCAAGCAGCAGTTCCTCGCGATCAAGGCCAAAGTCGATACGGTTGTACGTCAGGGTGTATCACTTAAAGGGGAGCGTTTCGGTGCTGCCCTGCTAGGCAATCCTGGGACAGGAAAGACGACTGTGGCTAGGCACTACGCCAAGTTCCTAGTTGAGGTAGGAGCTTTGCCTGGTGGTCACTTCATTGAGAGTTCTGGATCAGCTCTTGCAAATGACGGCGTATCCGCTTGCAAGACCCACATTGATGACATACTCCAAGCAGGAGGTGGTGTATTCTTCATCGATGAAGCGTATCAACTGGTATCTGGAAACAGTCCCGGCGGCAAAGCGGTGCTTGACTACCTGCTTGCAGAAATGGAGAACTTGACAGGCAAGGTCGTCTTTGTTCTCGCAGGCTACCACAAGCAGATGGAAGCCTTCTTCTCCCACAACCCTGGCATTCCGAGCCGCATACCAATCCGAATGGAGTTCCAGGACTACGAAGACCGCGAGCTACAACAAATCTTCTGCCAGTACATTGACAAGAAGTACTCCGGACGCATGAAGATTGAAGACGGCATGAAAGGCCTTTATGTACGTATCGTTGCGCGGCGCATTGGTCGTGGTCGAGGCCGTGATGGCTTCGGTAACGCCCGCGAAGTCCAAAACAAGATCGCACAGATTACCGAACGCCAGGCCAAGCGACTGCGCAAAGCAAGAAAAGCCGGCACGATGCCGGATGACTATCTCCTTACCAAGGAGGATCTGATTGGTCCGGAGCCTTCGTCAGTTCTCAAGAATAATGCTGCCTGGTCAAAGCTGCAGAAGCTCACGGGCTTGGCCTCAGTCAAAGAGTCGGTACGAGTACTTCTCGACGGTATACAAACCAACTACCAGCTCGAGCTGAAGGAGAAGCCCATTATCCAGTATTCACTAAACCGTTGCTTCGTCGGTTCCCCAGGAACTGGAAAGACCACCGTAGCCAAACTCTACGGTCGCGTTCTGGCCGACATTGGACTTCTTTCGCTTGGCGAGGTCATCGTAAAGAACCCAGCAGACTTCGTCGGGAACGTCATAGGAGGCTCAGAAGCCAACACCAAAGCCATTCTGGCTTCCACAGTCGGTAAAGTTCTCATCATCGATGAGGCTTACATGCTTGCTAAAGCTAGCGGTCCCAACGGCGGCGACCCTTTCAAAGCCGCAGTCATTGACACCATCGTTGCCGAAGTTCAGAGCACCGCAGGCGAAGACCGATGTGTGTTGCTGCTAGGATACAAGGACCAAATGGAAGACATGTTTCGAGATGTCAATCCCGGCCTTGCGAGGCGGTTCCCGTTGGAATCTGCGTTTGTGTTTGAGGACTTCAATGACTTTGAGATTCGTCAGATCTTTGACTTCAAGCTCAAGGGCATTGGATTTGATGCGAAAGACCAAGCCAAGAAGGTAAGATGGCATATCAATTTTGATGCATTACCACTAACACGTTTCATTCTAGGTCGCCATGGAGGTCATTCAACGCGCGCGCAACCGTCCAAACTTCGGCAACGCAGGCGAGGTCGATATCCTCCTGGATCGCGCGAAGGCGTTACATCAGAAGCACATATCCTCGGGCAAAGTCAAGCAATTTGGCACGTTCGAAGCCATCGACTTTGATCCTGATTTCGACCGCGGTACTCGTGCAGCAACCGAAGTTTCAGCTCTATTCCAAGATGTCGTAGGGTGCGAGGATCTGATCAAGCAGTTCCAGGGTTACCAAACCACGGCTGCCAACATGAAAGCTCTTGGAATGGACCCTCGAGAGCAGATACCTTTCAACTTCCTCTTCAAGGGGCCGCCAGGTACCGGCAAGACTACTGCGGCTGCAAAGATGGGCAAGATATTCTACGACATGGGCTTTCTCAGCCAGGCGAAAGTGGAAGAATGCTCCGCTACCGACCTGATCGGCCAGTACATTGGTCATACTGGGCCGAAGGTTCAGAAACTCATGGAGAAAGCCCTGGGGAAAGTTCTTTTTATCGATGAAGCCTATCGTCTTGCGGAAGGCCATTTCGCGACCGAAGCAATGGATGAGATAGTCGACTGCCTCACCAAACCCAAGTATGCGCAGAAACTCGTCGTCATTCTGGCTGGCTACGATAAGGATATTGACCGACTGATGAGCATGAACCCTGGGCTCACCAGTCGCTTTCCCGAAACAGTCATGTTCAAGCATATCGACCCAGAAACATGTCTGAAGCTCCTTGTCAAAGTACTATCGGATCTGCAGAAGAAGAAGAAAGCGCCACTCGATCTCTCGATCATCGATCCGCCATCATCGCAACTACGCCAGCAGCTACTGGACCTCTTTGGCAGGCTATCGGTCCTGGAGTCATGGGGCAACGCTCGCGACGTTAAATCGCTCGCGAAGAGCATGTTTCAAGCACTCATCTCTACGGCCGTGCCTCCCATCACTAGCCTCGTCCTCACAGAGCCCATCGTTGTTCGCACTATGGAAAGCATGGTAGATGAACGTTCACGGCGGCATGCCGCAGCAGGCACGAGCCGGTCAGGAAAGCGAACGCCCAACCACCCCATGCCCCCACCACAGACTCAGAACCCGACGCCGCCTAGTGCGCAAGGCTCAAACACCTCGACAAATACCGCAGCCCCACCACCAACAGCCGGGACCAATACGGACAAACCGGAAGACGACAAGAAGCCAACCGAAAAGAAGACCGAGCCCGCAACAGAGCCTGAAGACCCGTTTGCTTCTATCTTCAAAGTCAAGCGCGACGCAGGTGTTTCCGACGAAGTATGGGAGCAACTCGAACGCGACAAGCACGCTATGGTGGCCAAAGAAAACGAATACCGCCAGCTTCAAGAAGAGAAGCGTCAGTATGAGGAGCGAATCAAGGAGTTCATCCGTGCCGAGAAGGCTGCTGCCGACGAGGAGGAGCGACGTGTTCGAGAGCAAGCGCGTATCGCTGCAGAACTGGAGAGGCGACGCCGTGATGAGGAACTGGCAGCCGTTGAGAAGGCGCGACAAAAAGAGATGGAGAGGCAGAAGAAGCTGAAGGTAATGGGACCATGTCCGATGGGGTACATGTGGATCAAGCAGCATAGCGGGTATAGATGTGCGGGTGGGAGTCATACGCTGTCTGACGACCAGATTGATGCGTATTGTCGCTAAGAGAGGATGGATAGGTTATAGATGGCAGAGGGGGGAAGTCGATCGAACAGTTCATTTCTCTCGTTGCTGTCTAAAAGCAACATAAGAAAATACCATTTCTTATCAATTGTTCCTCCGACCATTCACCACAATATTACCCCAAATATCTATTCTCCTCAACGGAACACTTGCGACATTACACTCCTTCGCCAAAGCCGCAGCCGAACTCACACCCTGGCCACGCTTGTCCTCAAACTTGTCCGTTCGTGGGCTGTCAGGCCACTGGAAAGTCACCATAATATCGCGACTAGCAGCAGCCATTTTACTCGCTTCCATGAGTCCATCCGCCCTGTCTCCACCCGCCTCTCTACCAAAGCCAAATCGCTGCGGAGACAACGGCGTGTCGTCTTGTGGTTTGATACTCTGTCCGTAGAACACCAGCGGCAAGATACTATCTTTCCAGATTGGCACGCTATGTCGTCTTCTCCAGTTTGTAATATTGACCCAAACGGAAAGAATGCATGTAGTGACGGTAAGACAGATCGGGAGCAAAAGCCATTTCAACCTCATCTCCACACACGCTTTCGTCTCCCACGCGAGTCCATACACCACATCCAAAAGCGGGTCGTGCGCGCCGTAGCTGAAATCACGTGCTGTCGCGCTGCCATACTGGAAACGAAAGCGGTTGGTCATGGCGTTCGCCACGGCATCGAAAAGTTTCGTGACATTGGCATGGCTCGAGCTGCCCTCTGTTTCTACCAGCGGCCGCAGTACAGCATTAACGCCTATATGCGCCAGATTAGACTGACTTTCCAACTGACAAAACTGGCTATTCTTGCAGTTCTTGAAGCAATCGAACGTTTTATACGACTGGCAATACCCGTCGAAAATATCGTCGTTCATAACCATAGCGACCGCTTTAACGAATCCGGCTGGTTGCCGGTAAATACACTGTTCCGGCCACGTCATATTCTCAAACGAATATTTCTCGTGCGAAAAGTCGAAGAGCTGTAATTCCGCTGTCGCGGTGCCTTCGGGGATGAAACCGCCGCTGTATAGCGTCCAGGGGCCTACTCGGCACGGCTCTCGTCTTGTTGTGTATTCGTATTCCGTGTTGGAGAGGCTGTTTCTGTAAGTGGGCAGGTCGAGTTCTTCGTGGTGGGCGCCGCCGATTTGGAGGCGCATGGCTGAGGAGGGGGCTTCCCATTCGTGGAGCTCGGAGTCTTTGATTATGCTTTTGTAGGTGCGTGTGCATGGGTACAGGCTGCATACTGAGGCGGTGATGGGGGTACTGCCGATGTTGAGGAGGGTCGCGTTGACGTATGCCCATCTGGATGCTTCTCTGACGCTGTCGGTTAGGAGACTGCCCATCCATGTGAGGTCGGGAGTTGGCTTCATGATCGAGACTTCGAAATGGCTTGCTCCTACTGATAGGTTCAAGCCGCTTGGCAGAGAGTGGACAGTGTTGTTACTCCACTCTGTACTCTCGATCTTGCTCGTTACTAGAGACGCCACGTTCGTGCACGTGTTGCACACTCCAACTGTCGAATGCATGCTCTGATTAGAGTCGAAGAAGGCCTTTTCCAGTTCAGGTCTTGGACCCAGGTTACTAAACGTACAATTTCCCGTGGGGCAACTTGTGCGAATCTTGTTCTCAATGCCGTAGGGCGATACGACACTGGACAGAATTGCGGCGACAAGGTCGGTTGTGGGGCCTCCGTCTGAACCACCTGTAAAAGGGATGTAGCCACCACTCCCAGGTACCGTGTGCGCGAAGGGAAGTGATGCATTGAGCGTAGCGCTAGGAAATGAGCACGGCGCCGCTCCATTAGCCTGCTGAGCAAAAGGTCCCACCAAGAACGACAGTAGCAACACGACGGCAGCAGCCAGTGTAACAAAGTCCTTGAGAAAAACAGTCGGAATGAGAAGCAACGCTCCGTAGGCTCCGCGGCTCCCGTAGTCGAATCGCTGAATATCCGATAATGGCCGGGCACTCGTGACATTGAACCAGTCCCATTTCCTTTGCGATATGATCTGTGCGACAGTGAGAACTAGTAGAGCTCGCAGAACCGTTGATAAAAGCGCGATGAGAGCGTTGAGATTGAGATCGCCGCCCCAGTCCGGTACGGGTTTGCCGTCATATACTGCTAGGATGCCTGCGATTGAGGTTACCAAGCCGATTGCGCAGGCTATAGTGAGGGTTTCTCCGGCCCAGGTGCGGAATACGTAGCAAGACTCCATTTTACTTCGGTTCGCAAAGGTATCGGACAAATGCGAAGACACAAGCAGATGTGGTGCTAATGGAAGGCGCGACTTTGAAGTTATAGATTGACATTCCTGCAAGGAGTCACGCGACCCTTCAAGCAGCCAGACTATGCACGCGTACCTGCTTTCCTTTGTCCTCCACGGTCTGTAGAAGCGGCCGTAAGGATTCGGCTAATCTAGCAGTCGCTCTACCAAGTGTAGTCTGATGAAACGTAACAAAGAAAATACGTCATAGCCCTGCATGCGTACACCCATACGGATAGTTAGCTAATTTTTCGTTCCCATTATGGTATACACAAGGATACAAGACAGCGCATCGATAGAGATACGTAGTCATCCCGCTGAACACTTCCCACTATGCTGCTACTATCTCCATCCAATGCCGGACCGTCCAATGTCGGACGTCAACTTCTTCAACCCCGGCGGTACAGTCCTGATATCCCAATCCCAATGAAATGTACTCCTGAGCCTTCGCCACACGCGGATAACATGGTCCCACGTAATGTCGTCATCTGCCCCGTTAGAAGTAAACGCTTCATACATCCAGTCCATGTTAGTAGCTCTGCTGTACCCAAAGACACCTAATTCCTTGATGCCGAGCTTACCATAGGCAAAATTTAATGGAGCGTCCCCATTGGCAGTTGAGGCGTGAAGAAGATTGCCGTAGCCGTCCATCCAGAGTTCAGGGAAGGGGTCCAGTTCTTCGAGAAGAGCTTTCACGGTGTTGATACCAGGAGACTCAGATAGTTCCTCTTCTGCTTGAAGTATGTAGTCGGATAGGAGTAAGAACGTCTGTCTCAATAATTTCTCTGTTGAGACAGTAGTGCTTTGTTGCGGTGCCCCGGTGTGGGAAGGCGGAGTGAGCGTTATGCAGATGGTGGAAACACGGTGGGGATATCCGTCGCGTAGTAGAGTAATCAAATCTTTGATGTCAATACGGACAGTGCTGAGGGCGGTCACTTCGGCGGGAGCAATTTCCAATACAAGGGTCTGTGCATGGGGCTCTGGCCAGGAACTTAACATCGCTCCCAGGACCGTAGGATGATTGGATCTCTTGGACAGGAGATCGTCCAACTTTTTGAAGCCGTCAAAATCTGTAACGGGTTTCTTGCTGGTCATCTTTATGCTGATTCGGTTCAGACGTGATACAAGCTCCCCTAGGGTGCGCCGGGGAACTAGGCCTGTTCGAGCGATACCGAAGTCAAGGCCCCGTACAGTATGTGTGTTCAAGTCGATTACGATTTCGTCTGGGTGGCGCAGTACAAATTCTGCTATCCGTTTTCGTGTGTCTACTGCTAGGTTTTGAAATGGGCGGCGCTTCCTCCGCGGCTTCCATCGGAGGGTTTTGCCTTCGTCTGATACAAGGACTTTCCTCAAATTTGTCCCACTTCCATCTCTCATGCCCACGGCACCCCCCAATTCCCGTTCCGGAAATTGGAGTATTCTGATCTCAGACATGAGATGGTTAGAGAACGCGTACTTGCGTATGTCGAGAACGTCGTGTACTGCGAAGGCAGTAAGCAAGTTATTGAACATGCGCGCTCTATCAACCCATGGTTCTCCATCTCTATCGGCCGCTTCAATCGTAGGCTCGTGCGTACATAGTGCTCCGCTAGCACTTCCGAACGAGATTATCTTGAGGGAGTCCGGGTTCTTCCACACAAAACGTAATAGAGGCAAGAATTCGAACACATCGCTGTTCGCACATAAACCTTCACAACAGGTCGCATTTACATCAATGACAACCTTCTTGAGGCGGTTGAATTGCGTTTCGATGTCGTTCAGCCACTTCGCCGCGTAGTCGACCTGGGAGTATTCTTCATGGCTGTTCAACTCGTCACAATCCTCTTCGTCAAACAGTCTTGAGAAAATGAACGTGTTTCCGCCGTATAGAACCCCAGAAGCTTCGTCGTGTATCTGGCGGCAAGACGATAGCAGAGCGAGCCCCTCATGAAAGTCGTGTCGGAATGCCTCGTCTTTCCCGACTCCGTCTTCGTATTCGCTGTAGTAATCCTCGAGAGCCCCACGGAAAGGATGTGACGCATGGTAAACATCCGCGTTATGAAGCAAGACCGGATCTTCTCGCTTGAACAGCAATTCATACACGCAATTGCGAATCTCGGGAGGGAACTTTGTAAGGAACGAAATCGCAGATGGGTTGGTTGGGGACGAGGTACGTATTTGCGAATTCCGCATGATGGCGATAGTGGTGTATAAGTCGCGCTATTGCCAGTGTAGTCGGTAGGGTGGAGCGACAATCGAAAGTGAGTAAGTCGAGAACAATATATATTCTCTGAAAGCAGGCGCGTAGGGGGCGAACTAGGCTCCTGCTCTGACAACGGAAGGACCGCACAGACTGACGGTGATGAAAGTAGCGTAATTCAATAAAAGATCGTGTCGAGTGCAGAGCAGTATCGTGTACGACAATAGGCATGAGCCCTCGATACTCGAGGCCATCAGCTCCTCATAGCAAGCCCGCACGATACCTAATCATAAAACCCCAAAATCTTATTCGCCCGATCCAGAATAACCCTCTCCCCCGGGCCCAACCCCTCAGCATCACTATCCCACTCTTGCAACCCCATCGCCCGTCTCCCCTCCTCTCCAACCAACTCCTCCATATCCTCAGCTGTGATACGCCCAACATGCTCACTCTCACCCACCCCACCACCAAAATCCGGGCTCGGAGTACCAGCAAGAAACGTCTCGCGCTGACGAACAAGGTAATTGGCATTATCCTCCGTCATGGGGCAAGCAGGGATATAAAGGACGCTGGAGTCACAGGATCCGGCGTGCGTCTTGTCGACGCTGTGGATGGTATCGCAGTGCCAGGCTACATAGTCACCCGGCCTGACCGTCGGCATATGAATCATCGATTCTTGTAAATTGAGATGCGGGTGCAGCAAATGTGACAGTTCCTGGCCGCGACCCGGTGTCGCACCATGGACCCACGCGTTTTGTCTGCTATTCATTTCCCAGTTGTCTGAGGCGAGGAAATCGGCGGCGTTTGTAGTGGAGGAGGAGGAGGGTGTTTGCGCGCCGCGCTCGACGCCGCGTTTGGGGGAGAAGAAGGGGCGGAGGAGGTAGTATGCTGTTGCTTTTGCCAACAGTGGGTTGACGAGGAGTGTGCCTTCAAACGGACCCGTTGTAGACAGCGAGAGCCAGCCTTGGAACATGCGAAACGCGCTGCATGCTCCCACACCCTGGTGCAAGTCCGAAATAACGGGCAGACGACAACTAGCTTCCCAGGGGTCAAAGTCTTCCCATCGCCCTTTCCACACAGAGTCGTAGACTTTGCCTAGCCCGTAGCCTTCTTCGTCCCAGCGTTCCACGCTGCCGCCGTCGACGTGGGGGCCTAGGGCGAACTTGGCGTCGCCGGGGAGGCGCATGCGCAGGCGGTCGGCGTAGCTTATGGGGTGTTTTGTGGAGAGCGGGATGTGTGGGTTGAGGCTGTGCCAGTAGGACATGAGGAAGGATTGCGTCTTGAGGAGGTTCGGGTTACCGCGGGCGAGGAGCTGGGTGCGCGACCAGTATAGTTCGAAGACTTGGGGGTTGTCGGCGGGGAAGGCTGCAGAATGGTTAGTTATGTGTATGTTTCCGGGATGCGCCCAGACGTACCTTTTGTCTGAGGATTCTGGCGAATGTACTCTCTCAAATCTTCTTTCCATTGCAGCGCTTCCTGCTCTGGTACCACATTCCGGATGACGGCGACACCTCTCTTCCGCAGCTCACTGCTGAAAGACTCGGGCGCATTGTCGATATCCTTGAAATCAATCTCTGGGATAACCTGACTGCCACGCTCGACAATCAGCGGAATTTCCTCGCGCAGATCTCGAAGGAGGCGTTCCCAAGACTCTCGCACTTCGGCTTCGTGTCCACGGATCAGCCGGCTCTTGAGGTCCGCATATTCTTGCGTCAGGGGCGTAAACTCCTGTCCCGAGAGCGATGCGAAAGCATCAGATATATCGCCAGCGCGTTTCTGGGCTTGTGTCGCGGCGGTGCGCAATTGTGTGACGGCGCGTCTCGTCGGAGATCGGATGGTTCGGAGCGCGGAGAGCATCGCGGAGGTATCGTGCGGAAATTATTCGACTATTCGATACTGTATCATGGCCTTCTCATCCCCAGAAGCCGCCCATTATATACTGCTGCTTGCGCCGAGGTTGCACCAGCGTTCAGTGTAGTTCCGACAGTGTAGTGAAGCTCAAGCTGTCGAGAGAAGATACTGTACATTCGGAAGCTCTTCTCGACTGGGTATAGCGCCTTCTTTGAGCACTGCCAATCCACCATCCTCGTAACTACCACTACATGTAGAGCATCGTTCCCGACGACTCCATACTAGACCGTCATCAGCTCTGAGATTCGCGAATGAGGCGCTGAGGAACATGTTCTTCCGCGCGACTTGGTAGACGGACGCCCTGGAGTGGTGCGCGCGGGAAACGGCCGCCAGACCCAATACCCCGCCATCCCACTCCTCCAAGCATCACCTTGCGCCCAAGATGACTTCCGCGCTGCCGCCTAGCAGGTTAATAGGCAGGCTGAATCAACGGGCCGCAGTCCCACTGACCGCCTTCATCATCGAGGACCCTCATGGGCAGAATCGACGTAAAAGTGTAGCTTCGTCATGTGGGATGAAGCTATAACACTCAAGTGATCGTGACAATGAGCGGGGTCGCTGGACCAGGGAGCCATTGAGAAGGCGGAGAATGCGACCTCCAGCCCGCTTGAGCTCGACGGAGCCGTACCAAGTTCCTCATATGTCTTACTGCGCGTCGATTAAGGTCTTGTCGACGCGTGAGGACGGTTACGGCGGGACGTTCTCCGCAGCCTTTTTGCTGTGTCCACGTATATAGAAGTATACCTGTCCCGTTGCTGCGGGTTGCTTTCTGCTTCTCTAGATTGTCAGCGTAAGCACCTCTGTCAATAAAACTGCTTGAACCGCAATCAAAACCATCATGTCGCAGTCGTATCTGCCGAAGGATTTCCTGTGGGGATTCGCAACAGCCAGGTTCGTCTGATTCTCAGGACCGATTTCTCCACTCCCCAAATTGTACCCCGCCAACGAGATATACGGTTTGGGAGGCGCCACATTGTTGTCACATACTGAGTTTCTGAACCCGCAGTTACCAAATCGAAGGCGCACCGCATGAAGATGGCCGCGCCGATTCCATTTGGGACACGTTCTGCCGCATCCCGGGCAAGATTGCTGGCGGAGAATCCGGAGATGTTGCATGCGATTCCTACCACCGCACTGACGAGGACATTGCCCTCTTGAAAGATATCGGCGCAAAATCATACCGCTTTTCGCTCTCGTGGTCCCGCATCATACCGCTCGGCGGACGCAACGACCCCGTAAACGAAAAAGGTCTGCAGTACTACATCAACTTGGTCGACGATCTCCGTGCCGCAGGCATCGAGCCGATGATAACGCTGTTTCATTGGGATCTCCCAGACAACCTGCACAAGCGATATGGGGGCATGCTGAACAAGGACGAGTTCGTGAAGGATTACGAGAACTACGCCAGGGTGTGTTTCAAGGCTTTCGGTTCGAAGGTAAAATATTGGATCACCTTCAACGAGCCTTGGTGCAGCTCTATTCTCGGCTATGGCACCGGCCTTTTTGCTCCCGGTCGTTGCAGTGACCGGACCAAGAGCGCTGAAGGTGACAGCTCGCGGGAGCCGTGGATCGTCGGCCACTCGCTCCTCATTGCCCATGGTGCGGCGGTCAAGGCCTACCGTGATGACTTCAAGGCCAAGGATGGAGGCCAGATTGGGATTACGCTCAATGGTAAGTGACCAGCACGTGGCTCGCGTAGAAGGTGTGGGTACCACGCATATCGAAGGCCGTGCCAGGGTAGCAAAAATCGGCCTCACGTCTGAGCATGAATATGACAAGCTGATATGCCGTTTCTAGGCGACTGGACAGAACCGTGGGATCCAGAAGACCCGAAGGATCGCGAGGCCTGCGACCGCAAGATCGAATTTGCCATTTGCTGGTTCGGCGACCCAGTGTACTTTGGCAAGTACCCAGACTCGATGCGCAAGCAACTGGGCGATCGCCTTCCCGACTTCACACCGGAAGAAGCGGCTCTCGTCAAGGGAAGCAATGACTTCTATGGCATGAACCACTACTGCGCCAATTACATTAGACACAAGGACACTGAGCCTGAGCCTGAAGATCATGTTGGCAATATGGACATTCTTTACCAGAACAAGAAGGGCGAATGGATTGGCCCAGAGACTCAATCCGTCTGGCTGAGGCCAATGCCTTTGGGTTTCAGAAAGCTAATCAAGTGGCTCAGTGATAGGTACGGCGGCCCGACCTTCTATGTGACGGAGAACGGAACCAGTCTCAAGGGGGAGAACGATCTCCCTCTTGAGAAGTTGCTCGACGACGAGTTCCGTTGCGAGTACTTCAGGGGATACATTGGAGCCTTGGCCGATGCTCATACCTTGGACGGTGTCGATGTCAGGGGCTACTCAGCTTGGAGTCTCATGGAGTGAGTAATCCCGTTTCTTGACGTCTACCCTGACCCCCACTTGTCATCAAGAAGTTTCTTTTTCTTTCCCAGTGAGTGGTGGAGTCTTTATTTGTCCGCATGGCGGTTGCGCGTTCGCTCCCGGGTAGATCATTCTTTCTCTCCTAGCCTCAAACACTGCGGGCTTGGGGTCCCGCGGACGCCGTGTAAAGCGTCATGGACACTGACTTGGTGTACCTGCAGCAACTTTGAGTGGGCCGAAGGCTACACGACACGTTTCGGCGTTACCTACGTCGACTACAAGGGTGGCCAGAAGCGATACCCTAAGAAGAGCGCGCGAGAAATCTCGAAAATCTTTGACAAGTACATCAAAAAGGAGTAAGAAACCGAGAATCCTGGCGACCCGCGGATGTGGCGTACGACGGTGTAGGACGGATACGCATCCACCGAATCACTGTCGGTATGGGCCTGGATTGATAGGCAGTGCCCTTCTAGGATTTTTCTAGCGCCATGTATGTGGATGGGAGACGGTGAATGTGGGACGATGTGGCACAATGTGGCATGCCATGATGGGCTGTCCTTGCAAATTACCGTGTGCGGAAAGCTGTGCGACCCTCTCTTTTCTTAGATGGATCTCGGAGTCTTTGCATCTGTAGATACTATCTTAGATCCGGAGCATTGCGCCATCTTAGGCCCCGCGTGGTAACAACCACTGGGATG